TTTCATTTTTTCTGAAGAAGGGTCTAGGCCCGAAACGTCAGCCTTCCTGCTCCTCTGATGCTGCTTGGCCTGCTGTGTTCATCCAGCTCTGCACCTTGTTATCTCAGATTCTCCAGCATCTGCAGTTCCTGCTATCTCTGAAACTTGCATTGATGTTTTCTTTTAAGTCAATTGTGGGATATGGGCATTGCTGGCTGGCAAGCATTTATTGCCCATCCCTAGTTGCCCTTGAGAAGGTGATGGTGAGCTACCTTCTTGAACTGCTGCAGTCCATGTTCCGTGTGGGTGGTGGACAGGCTTTGGAGAATCAGGAGGTGAGTTATTCATCGCAATATTCCCAGCCTTTGACCTGCTCATGTAGCCACTGTGTTTATGTGGCGAGTCCAGTTCAGTTTCTGGTCAATAGCAACCCCCAGGATGTTCGTAGTGGAGGATTCAATAATGGTAACGCCAGTAAATATCATGGGGCAGTTGCTATGTTGTCTCTTATTGAAGGCGGTCATTGCCTGGCATTTGTGTGGCACAAATATTACTTGCTATTGTCCAGATCTTGTTGCATTTAAGCATAGACTGCTTCACTATCTGTGGAGTCATAAATGGTGCTGAATGTCATGCGATCATCGGTGAACATCCCCACTTCTGACTTTATGATGGAGGGAAGGTCATTGAAGCAGCTGAAGATGTTTGCGCCTTGGACATTACCCTGAGGAATTCAGGGCTCTTGTGGCATAGTGGCCTTGGTTCAAACGCTGACAAATGCTTTGAATTTGAGAGTTGAGATGAAAATGACAGCAATTGACATGAAGATCACATTCCACTGAACGTGGCATCAAGGAACCCTAGGAAAGCTACCCTACCATCCCACCTCTGAGCCAAAAGACCCAAGTTGAAGTTCCACCTGTTCCAGATGTGTGTAATATTCTGAGGAACCCCTGCAGAGATGTCCTGGAGCTGAGGTGACTGACATCCAACAACCATAGTTATCTTCCTATGTGCCAGGTATGGCTTCAACCAGAGAAGAGTTTGCTTCCTGATTCTCATTGACTGCAATTTTCCTAAGGTTCTTTGATGCCATATTCGGTCGAATGTGACCTTTGTGTCAATTGTTGTCACTCATCTCACCTCTCAAATTAAAGCATTTGTCTGTTTGAACCAAGGGTCTAATGAAGTCTGGAGCTGTGTGGCCTTGGTGGAACTCAAACTGGGTGTAAGGGGAGGAGGTTATTGCTGAGCAAGTGCTGCTTAATAGCACTGTTGGCGACACCTTCTGACAATTTACTGATGATCTGTACTAGATAGTTGGGGCAGTAATTGGCTGGGTTGGATTTGCCCTGCTTTTAGTGTACATGACTATACATGGGCAATTTTCCATATTGTCTTGTAGATGCCAGTGTTGTGACTGTGTACTGGACCAGCTTGGCTAGGGGAGCGATAAATTCTGGAACACAAGTCTTCAGTACTTTTACTGGAACATTGTCAGGGCCCATAGCCTTGCAGTGTCCAGTACCTCCATCGATTTCTTGATGTCACGTGGGGTGAATTGAACTGGCTGCAGATTGGTATCTGTGCTGGGGACCACTGGAGGAGGCCAAGATGGATCATCCACTCGGCACTTTTGACTGAAGATTGCTGCGAATGATTCAGCCTTATCTTTTGTGCTGATATGTTGGGCTCTTACATCACTACCCGTGGGGATGTTTGTGGAGCCGCCTCCTCCAGTGAGTTGTTTAATTGACCACCGCTTTTCACAGCTGAATGTGGCATGGACTGCAGAACTTGGGTCTGACCTGTTGTTTGTGGGATTGCTTAACTCACTTATTACTTGCTGCTTATGATGTTTAGCAGCTTCACCAGGTTGACACCTCATTTTATGGTATGCTGAGTGCTGTTCTTGGCATCCCCTCCTGTATTCTCCATTGAAACGGGGTTGATCCCCAGGCTTGATGGTAATTGTTGATTGATGGCCAGGCCATGAGGATCAGATTATTCTGGAACACATTCTACTACTGCTCACGGCTCTCAGCACCTCATAGATGCCCAGTCTTGAGTTGGTACATTTGTTCAAATTCTGTCCCATTTAGAATTTGTGCTACACAACATAATGGAGAACAGAATATCCTTCAGTGGCATTCTGAATGTAAAGACAAGACTTGTTTCCACAGGACTGTGCCATGGTCACTTTCACCAAAACTATCAAGGATAGATGCATCTGCACCTGGTACAACAGTAAGGAGAGGACCAAAACCAGAAATTGCTGCTGAAACTCAGCAGGTCTGGCAGCAGCTATGGGAAGAGAGTAGAGTTAACATTTTGAGTCCAGTGACTCATCTTCAGCGTTCTGATGCCAGGGTTGAGTTTCACTGATAACTTCTGTTTTTGTTTCAGATCTTCATCATTCACAGTTCTTCGTTTTATTTCATTAAGGATGAAGCCATGTTTCTCCAGAATTAATATTTGAGGTCAACAAGTTTTGAAGAGAATGGGGTTGTTGAGGTGTTTGAAGAGATCTGGAGGTAATGGTCTTCGGAATACTAAAAGGGGGTAGTTTAAAACACTTCTGCCTTCCACGTGTTCGTTCTTTTGTTCATTTTTCATTCCAAATACCAATACCTCCATATCTCTCGGTGGCTCAGTGGTTGGCACTGCTGCCACACAGCGCCAGGGATCCGGGTTCAATTCCACCCTCGGGTGCCTGTCTGTGTGGAGTTTGCACATTCTCCCCGTGTCTGCGTGGGGTTTCCTCCGGGTGCTCCGGTTTCCTCCCATTGTCCAAAGATATGCAGTTTAGGTGGATTGACCATGCTAAATTGCCCACAGTGTTCAGGGGTGTGTATATTAGGTGTGTTATAGGGGGATGGGGGATGGGTCTGGGTGCGATGCTCTGAGGGTCAGTGTGGACTTGTTGGGCCATAGGGCCTTTTTCCACACTGTAGCGGTTCTATGATTTTGTAGGGGTTCTATGATTATGACAAAAGGTCATCAACCTGAAGCTGTAACTATCTCCCCTCCATAGTACAGCCTCGCCTGACTATTTCCATCATTTTCTGATCTTAATTCAGGTTTGCAATATACTCAGAGTTTTGCTTTTGTGAAAATGTTCCCTAATTACTATCCCTCTGTCTTTCACCCTCAACAGGTGGCCAGGATCCAGCTGCAGATTCAGGACACCTTGGTACGCAATTATTCTCAGCATCCCTCTGTGCAGGAAGCAATCTCTCAACTCGATGCAGAGCTCATGGACATCACCAAGGTAAGTGCATGAGCATACCTCTGACAGGACCAGACTACTCTGGGGAGCACGAAACCACAGGTCAGCTTGCACTGTCTTGTCCAAGATTCAGGATCTGTGTCGAATCCTCAGTGGAATTCATATAACTGTAAACTATTGTATGGCTGATGAATGAGTTTTACAAGTGCAACATCAGTGCTTCCTTGTGTGCAGCAGAGAGATTTATTCCCCATCACTGTTGTCTGGGATTATCAGAGGAGATTTATCCTTTGGCTGTGAGTAGAGTCATACAGTGTGGAGATAGACCCTTTGGTCCAACTTATCTATGCCTACCAAGTTTCCCAAACTAAATTAGTTCCAGTTGCCTGCATTTGGTCCATATCCCTCTAAACCTATTAATTTACCTGTCCAAATGTCTTTTAAGTATTGTAAATGCAACTACCATTTCGTTAGCAGTTTGTTCCACGTACAAGCCACTCTCTGTGTGAAAAAGTTACCTGTCAGATTCCCCTTAAATCTTTCTCTTCTCACCTTAAAAATCTGTCCCCGAGTTTTGAACTCCCCCACCCTAGGGAAAAAGACCTTAGCTATTCACCTTATCTGTACCCCTCATGATTTTATAAACCTCTCCAAGGTCAACCCTCAACCTCCTGTGCTCCAGTGGAAAAAAGTCCCAGTCTGTCCAGTCTCTCCCTACAACTCAAACCCTCTAGTCTTGGCAACATCCTGGTAAATCTTGTCTGAACCCTCTCCAATTTAATAATATCCTTCCTAAAGCAGGACAACCAGAACTGTACGCAGTACTCAAAATGTGGCCACACCAACGTCCTGTACAACCTCAATATGATGTCCCAGCTTTGACATCCAATAGTCTGAGCAATGAAGGCAAGCGTGTCGAACATTGCATTAACCACCAAAGTTGTGTCGCAACTTTGAAAGAACTGTGTACCTGAAACCCTCGGTCTCTATTCGACAGCACTATCCAGGGCCCTACCATTAAGTGTATAAGTACCAAAACGCAATACCTCGCATTTATCCAAATTAAGCTCCCATCTGGCACTCCTCAGCCCATTGGCCCAATTCTTCAAGATCCCTTTGTAATCGTAGATATCCTCCTCCACTGTCGATCAAAGGGAGGTTTATCCTGGTCACTGATCCTTGTGAGTATCATCCTCTAGGTAGAAAAATGCTTCCTCAAATCCCCTCTAAACTCCTGCCTTTCACCTTAAAATTATGACCCTAGTTAGTGATAACTTAATTCAGGAGAACAGCTGCTTTCATTCCACCCTGTCTGTGCCCTTCGTATTCTTATACTCCTCAATCAGGTGGTTCACCTCCAAAATCTGCCCTGCTCCAAAGAAATCAACCCGTGTTTATCTAGTCTCTCTTCACAGCTAAATTGCTCCATCCCAGGCAACATTCTGGTTAATTCCGCCCCCCCCGCAACCATATCCTTCATATACTGCGGTAGCCAGAACTGCACAGAGTACTCTAGCTGAGGCCCAACCAATGTTCTGTACAGTTCCAACATAACTTCAATGCATTTATAATCTATGCCTTGACTGATTAAAGGCAAGTTCCCCATAGGCTGCCTTCACCACCCTTTTAAGCTGAGTTTGCTGAAGTAAACTAGGATACTCAATTAGGGGGACAGATCAGTAAGGGAAGAATTTAAAAAGCGGAAGAATTAATAAAAAGCTTGCCTTCATTGCTCAGACTGTTGGGTGTCGGAGTTGGGACATTATGTTGAGGTTGTACAGGACATTGGTGTTGCCACATTTGGAGTACTGTATACAGTTCTCATCGTCCAAGCCTGTGCTGCTCATCATGCCCTAACTAAACTTAAAAAAAAAAAACTCTTGCCCTTATTCAATCCATATCCCTCTATTATCTCCCTGTTCATGTATCCATCTAGATGCCCCTTAAACGTCGCCAACATGCCTGCTTCCCCCACCTGTTCTGGCAGTGCATTCCAGGCTCCTAACACTGCGTGAAAATCTTCCCTCACATCTTCATTAAACTCTCTCCCTCTCACCTTGAACCTGTGCCCTCTTGCAATTGAAACTTCAATCCAGGGAAAAAGGCCTCTGACCATCCACCGTATCTATGCCTCTCATAATTTTGTAGACGTCTATCAGCTCTCCTCTCAGCCACCGCCTTTCCAGTCAAAACAATCCTAGTCTTTTTGACCTTCCCTCATAGCCAATGCCCTCGAGACCAGGCAACATTCTGGTAAGCCTTCTCTCCACTCTCTCCAAAGCTTCCACGTCCTTCTGGTAATGTGGTGACTAAAACTGCACACAGTACTCCAAAGGTGGCCGAACAAGTGTTTTATAAAACTGCAACATGGTTTGCAAACTGCTGTACTCCATGCCCCAGCCAATGAAGGCAAACATGCCATATGCCTCCTTAATCACCTTTGCCACCTGTGTTGCCACGTTTAGGGAATTTGGACCTGCACACCCAGATCCATCTGTATGTTAATGTTCCTAAGGGTTCTGCCATTTACAGTATAATTCACACTTAAATTTGATCCTCCAAAATGCATCACCTCACATTTGTCTGGATTAAACTCCATCTGCCATTTCTGTGCCCAAGTCACCAACCCATCTATATCCTGTTGTATCCTTTCACAATCGTTGGCACTATCAGCAACTCCACCAATCTTAATATCATCTGCAAACTTACTAATCAGACCATGCACATTTTCCTCCAGATCATTTGTATATACTACAAACAACAGAGGACCTAAGACTGATCCCTGTGGAACACCACTAGTTACCGGTCTCTATTCTGAAAATCACCCTTTCATCACTACCCTCTGTCTTCTGTAATCAAGCCAGTTTTGTATCAATCTAGTCAGTCCACCCCGAATCCCATGTGACTTTTAGATTTTGTACCAAGCCGTGTGGGACTTTATCAAATGCCTTACTCAAGTCCATATAAACTACATCCACAGCCCTTCCCTCATCAATTATCTTTGTCACCTCTTATGCATATATCATGTCTCTCAGTATCTTCTCCAAGAGTTTCCCCACCACAGATGTCAGGCTCACCAGTCTATAATTTCCTAGATTATCCCTGTTTCCTTTCTTAAACAAGGGAACAACATTGGCTAATCTCCAGTCATCTAGAACCTCGCCTGTGGTCAGAGAGGATGTGAAGAAGTCTGCTCATGCCCAGCTATTTCTTCCCTTGTCTCTCACAGTAACCTGGGATAGATCCCATTTGACCCTAGAGACTTATGTACTTTAATGCAATTTAGGTGACCCAAAACTTCCTCTTTCAATATATTGATATTCTCTAGAGTATTCACACACTTATCCCTGACTTCAACATCAGTGATGTTCTCCCATGGTGAATACCGATATAAAGTACTTATTAAGGATCTCTCCCACTTACTGTGGCTCCACGCATAACTTCCCAGGGTTGTTCATCCTCGGTGTTCCCTGTTATCATATGGAGACAATATCCTGAATCTGATTGTTTTTCATTCATGGAATATGCACGTCACTGTCTGATTTGATTTATTATTGTCACATGTAGCGAAATACAGTGAAAAGTATTGTTTTGCGTGCTAACCAGACAAATCATACTTTACATGAATACATCAGGGTAATAGAACAGAATGCAGAATATAGTGTTACAGAGATGGAGATAGGGCAGAAAAAGACCAATTCTAACACATAAGAGGTTCGTATATAAGTCTGATAACAGCAGGGAAGAAGCTGTTCTTGAATCTGTTAGTACGTGTTTTGAAACCTTTATATCTTCTGGCCGGTTGAAGAGAATATTACCAGGGTGGGAGGGGTCTTTGATTATGTTGGCGGAAAGGCAGTGGGAAGTGTGGATGGAGTCAATGGATGGAGAAGGCTGGTTTTTGTGATGGACAGTGCTGCGTTCACAACTCTCTAATTTCTTGCAGTCTTGGCCAGAGCAGTTGTCATACCAAGCTGTGATGCATCTGGATGGGATGCTTTCTATGATGCATCTCTGAAAATTGGTAAGAGCCATTGTGGACATGCCAAATTTCCTGAGCCTCCTGAGGAAGTAGAGGTGTTGGTGCGCTTTCTTAGTGACGTGGATGGACCAGCACAGATTGTTGGTGATATTAGATAAAAACCAAAAGAACTACAGATGCTGTAATTTGGGAACAAATACAGAAGTTGCTGGAAAAGCTCAGCAGGTCTGGTAACATCTGTGAAGAAAATATCAGTTCTAAGGGTCGGTCACCGGACCCGAAACGTTAACTCTGATTTTTTTTTTCACAGATGCTGTCAGTCCTGCTGAGCTTTTCCAACAACCTTTGTTTATGGTAATATTTACTCCTAGGAACTCGAATCTGTGACCACCTCCAGCTCAGCACCATTGATACAGACAGAGACGTGCCCTCCACTCTACTTCCTGAAGTCAACAACTAGCTCCTTCATTTCGGTAACATTGAGGGAGAGATTGTTTACACCATAGAAACATAGAAAATAGGTGCAGGAGTAGGCCATTTGGCCCTTTGAGATTGCACCACCATTCAATACAATCAAAGCTGATCACGCAGTCTCAGTATCCCATTCTCACCCTCTCTCCATGTCTCCTGATCCCTTTAGCTGCAAGAGCCACATCCAACTCCCTCTTGAATATTAATGAACTGTCTCAACAGCTTCCTGTGGGAGAGAATTCCACAGGCTCACAACACTGAGTGAAGAAATTCTTCCTCACCTCAGTCCTGAACGGTTTACCCTTTATTCTTAGACTGTGACCCCTTGTTCTGGACTTCCCCAACATCAGGATCATTCTTCCTGCATCTAGCCTGTCCAGTCTCATCAGGATTTTATACATTTCCATGAGATCCCTCCTCATTCTTCTAAATTCCAGCAAATACAAGCCCAGTCGATCCAGTCTTTCTTCATTTGTCAGTCCTGCCATCCTGGGAATCACCTGGTGAACCTTTGTTGGACTCCTTCAATAGCAAGAATGTCTTTCCTCGGACTAGGAGACCAAAACTGCACACAATCCTCAAGGTGTGG